GAGGATGTTTGGACGACCTCTCAAATGTCGGCTAAAGAGATGCCTGGATATTATTTGCCCTGGCACACAACGGCCTCCAACGTAGCCTCGAAAAGTATTTTGCACAGCCGATATTTACGTAGGACAAACACACAAAAGGCACAAGGCAACAAGAAGCGAGGGGTGCGAGACGTACAAAACTATACAACGCGGTTTCCACCACACGTATGTATAATATATGCATAGTAAATTACGATATCGTGAATACTCGACCGCGCATACCACGTCCCGCATTCTTGCGTTAAACGAAAGAAGAATACATCTCCCTTCTATCAAGCGTACGAAATAAACGATGATGCGACGCAGAATATAATTCGTTGAAACGTTAATGACGATTCGACCAACTGTAAACATTGTTGATTACAATTACAAGTCTTTTTATCGCGGAGATTTCTGAGATTTATCAGCGGATTTGTAAATTAAGAATTTCTAAATTTTGAAAGATTCGTGGAATTTTTGAAAATTCTAGTTCGATAAAATTCATAATTGCAATTGCACGACGAGATGTAAACGCTGATAGAAATAATTTACAATTGGTCAATGTATTTGTAAATTAAAAATCATGCCATCTATGGAATCTTAAAATTCTATTTTAATAAGAATCGTAATTAAAATTGTACAGTTATTGATGACATTAAGCATCTCGTATTTCTACAACCGGTACCAGCAACCTCTTAGGAGAATGACGAATGTTTTATTGCGCTTAAACTACTTTCAAGTATAATGCATGGTGATAGTCACGGCTACCGTTTCCTACGTATTAACATTCAACACGGACGAGCCAAAGTTGAAGAGAGCGCCGCGAGTTGGAGAACCGTTTTGTGCCTATGATCAGACTTTTCTCTACTATTACGATTGTGCGCGGTGTTGCCCAAAAATTCAACACATCAAAAAGATGAACATTTTGTAATTACGTGTATATACAGCATAAGAAAGATACAAACTCGAAATTACGGAAATTCTGTTCGAAAGTGACGTTAATTAAAAAAATAGAAAAGAATAAGAAAAATAGTTTTGAAGATATAAAAGAATCATGACGCATTCTACTAAAAGATTTTAATTAAAATTCACGTGTCAATGTATTGTTCTTAATATTAAATTGATTTATAAATATGAACAAAATTTTTGGAAATACTGAAATGAAAAAACACTCCATTTTTCACCTGCAATGAATGCATGGCGAATGGCGAAGACTTATAATTATTACACGCCGCGCGAAGAAACATAGAACGTTCATGTTTCGTGAAAATTATTAATGAAAAATACGTAGATTGCTTACCTAATTTTCGAAGGTACGCACAGATGCGGTTCACGTCCCGCATTGAGATTAATTTTTTTTTTTTTTTCACATATAAACCAAAAGAAGTTAACCTCAACAACACTGGCTACACGCGGTCGAATGCGCGGGTGCCGCAAGTCAGAATGTGCGCATGCGCATCCGCAGTGGAATGTGCCCCTTCTCCACGGACATCTTCCCATCCCGCAACTAGCGATGGGTTCGAAACGTTTCCAAGCACTTACAAATATTTATTACTCGAAATGAAACATTCACCAGAATCCACTATACTATGATAAACATTGCATTTTCAAATACGAAACTTTCTCTTCCAACAAATACAATACAAATGTTATAGCCGCCTTCTTATTGTTTTAAATTTTTCAAGAATCAAAATGATAAACTCTACTTTTTCAATAAGGACTCCTTCTCTATTGTTCTTAACTAGGTACATTGAAACGATCAGTTTGACGTAACAAATATAATCTAGCAATATTGATCAAGCTTCATGCTTGATTCATCATCTTAGGAATTGTAATTGTTTCGCTTTAATTGCGAATTACGATTGTATCGAATTGTACATTCTAGAACTATAATTCCAGTTTTTGATATTTGAGTGATATTGCTAAGATGGTTAAAATTTTTTATGTCATGTTACTCTGAAATCTGCTTTGGAAACAATCGAGTGGCCATCACTAGTTGCAACGCACCTTTCCCTTCTCCAGTCCCATCGCATTGTCGGCATTCGGAAACCTTCTTCGTCGCACTACAATTGTGCCGCTCATTCCACTCGGCGACGTGCCGTCGTACGGTGGTCATCGAAATGTGCATACATGGACTCGCTACATGTATTTAAAAATACGTCCGCTATAGAAAATTTTTTACCGGCAAATAATCACGTGCGTGTGCGCCTTTAGTATTCGAACCGGTCACTTTTTAAGTTATTGCCCCGATTTTTTCCAAATTTGATCGAATAAACATTGTAAGTAATGAGAACTTTTAAAATTCCTAAAGCTATAATCCCTAACCTAAATTAGGTCGACATTTTTGACCAATTATGAAGAATAATGAAAAAGGAAATAAGTTTCATCGGAACAAATACGAAAAGCATCGCAAAATATTCGCAAAAGATGCTCCAATATTCAATTTCACAGAAATGAATTATTTGATCAACGAAAAATATATATAATGATCGCAATATCTTATACTACTGCTTACACATGGAAAGAATTTTTGAAACATAAAAACTCCTTACAGCATTAATGATGGCATGATATGATATTATAGAAATCATTAATGCAAGATATAATATATTTCATTAATGAATAAGCGAAGAACACGCATCGAAAAATTATATATGTTCTATGTATAAATATATTCTACTGTTCTATGTATAGATACATTCTACTTTCGTCGTACCCGCGTTTTCAAAAAAAATGGCGTCTGGTCATTTGGACCAATAGTTGCGAATAACAGACATTTGAAAAAAAAACATGATGAAACATTTCAATATGAAACTCCACTGTGATCGAAAACTATGAAACGTTTGATCACACAGGTACGAAATAAGAAGATGTGAAAAAATTACCTCTTTTTTCGTTCCTAGCTTCCAATGATTTATGTCAGCAAAAAGAACATCCCGATGATGCACATAATCCGGTTAATCCAACGTAACACACAGGAGGCCCGGTTTGGACGCGTAACAGGTGATCGTAATGAATAAACACTTTTTACGTAAGGATACTATTAAATGCACAACACAACACAGATCGCACGTTTGCCGCCGTTTACACGAGATTCAGTGATCTCACGTGAACTTCGACGCGGGTGAAACGAATTCCTTTTTCCCTCTCTCGCACGTTAATCGAACAGCGGAAAAAAGCATTCTGACGTTACCACGAATGGCATTCTTGTTCGCAAAGAATTCGCCAACTTCTCTGATAATTGTTATATGTGCAAGCTTGTAGAAATTTAAAGCACAGTTCTGTAAAACAAAACTTACAAGGTTCGATAAAACACCAACACAACGTACTGCGCCGGCGACCGACGACGACTGACTGACTAGCGGCACACATCGACTTCCCATAATCGACTAACCTAACACAGTCGAATCAACTTCTACCCCACGAAGCTCTTACACGAATCATATAAATTGCTTGCAATTTATCGATAATATAATGAATTATATGTTTTCAATTTCGAAACATCCATTTTTATATGTATATAATTCATTATGAAAATCCGTTACGAGATCCGTATCAAATCTGTTTTTCAAATATCGAATCTATTTTTCGATATTTTATATCGAATTATTTGATTGATAAGTCTTTTATTTGAAAGTAATTATTGGTTAACTGAATTGAAAATATTTGATATCAGTATATTTAACATTTATATATAAAAAATATATTTTTTTATTCCAGATGTTGTTAAAATAGAGTAAATCTCAATATGTTAAAATTATACACCATCGTTTTTTTTTATAGTATTATACATCTATAATATATTGTAATACACTTTTTTATAATAATAAATAACAGACTTGTTTATATAATAAATATTAATTTTTAACCAAATTTTTTAAACCAAAAATTTTATATTATACTGAAATAATGTGCTGAGTGATAATAATGAATAAAAAAATCAAAGATTTAATAAAGCAATACTAAATGACCGATTTGCTTATTTCTTTGTACGAAAGTATACAATTAAAGCATGTAAAAGGAAATCAAATTTCCCGCCATGTAATATTTCAGCAGGTGAGTGCTACCATCTTACAGTGAAAATTCAAAGCAAAAGGGATTTTAGAAGTTCAGAAAAGCAACGTTTCTGAGCGGACATAGCGGGCGCCATAGTCAGCGGAACTATCTGCAAAGATCACAGTATGACGTAAACGACGATCTAAACAAGTATCAGCTGTGTAGCAGTCATTGTTCGTATCCGTTTTGGCAGGCGTGCAAGAAATCTGTTTTTCTTCGTTTTCTGGTCGTCGGTCAGCAGGTCCGACGGGGTAAACGGTATACAGATTAGTCGGGAAAAGAAGTAGAAAAAAAAGAGGGGAGGCTACGAGTTTTCCGTGCAACGCAACCGTGGCTGCGTGCATGCTCCAGCCCCAGCCCCACCAACGATCTTAGGGACAATAATCGTGTGAAAAACGGGGCGGTACGCGCATAAGCCTGGCCTCGAGCAGCGAGTCAGACGACGGTGGACTCGCTCCGCCACCGTGCAAAAGGTCTCGTAGTTCTCTCCCGACTACTCTACGACCAGCGGACGAGCACCACACCGATCCTGAGATGGAAAACTATCGGTAACGCAATCAGGGCCCTAGATCATCGCGAGCGCGTAATCAACACACGAAGGGGCTTACCCCCTTCGTTATGACGCTCTCACGTGTATCTTCTTCCTTGCAGAATCTCAAGACGTATCGACGTCGGATTCCTTTCATATGTGCTGTCTATCAAGCGGTTTTCTTATTTATTGAAATCCTTTCATCGAATAATCATAGATTTTTTGTACACAAACATAGCATTTTAAAGTTCTTATGATAGAAAAAAAAAACAATAAAAAAAAAGTAAACAAGGGACATTTAAGTCAAGATAGAATGTACCGATTAGTACACATGCTTGTTAATATTGCGGACTACTATTGCCATCAAGGGTAATATTTCCCTGTGCATGACAGCGTAATGCAACAGCAGACTTCAAACGGTGGCATTTCCTCTGGGCTACAGCAGAATGGTTCAACAGCTGACTCTGGCGGACCTCATGCAAATGGCAACATGATACCAGAATCGGATAGTGACATCAATGGTGTTAATGGAGAAACAAATCAAAATTTGGGACCGCCGAAAGTAATGGACAAAACCAATCAAGATATTGTCAGACTCATTGGACAACATTTGAAGACAGTTGGGCTTAAGTATGTATCTCTTAATTTGGTTTCTGTATTCGCAAACTCTTGTGATAAAGAATGCTTTTAAGAAATCAAAATATATATTTTTATGTGTGTTATGACTAAAATTAAAAAAGCAGTCTACATAATGTATTTGCTATTAATTGACTATCAAGCAGTATAATTCAACCTTCATGAATTTCTTCCTTTTTGGTAACTGTTCTTGAAGGTTTTCTTTGTTAAGTTTTCTTTGTATGTACGCATTTATCTGAAGTATTGTATCACAACCTATCTGGACTGCATGCATACTCTGTGGTGGGAGAAAGCTAATTATAGAACTTTGAAATATAGTCAGCAGTATCTGCAAGTTATATTTGCTATATAATGTAGGCATTAAAAAAGAATCATGTACATTATGTATTCATATGTTGTGTATCTGTAATACATTATTACTATTATTAATAACATCATTATTGTTATTACGTTTATGTTATATGTTGAAAATGTTGAAAAAATTAGCAATATGTTGAAAAAATTATAGCTACGACTTATATGAAACTAGATAAAAGTAGAAATTAAATAATTAGCCAGTTTTTACTATATTAAGTGACAATATGAAATA